AGGGCAAGGCCTGCATTGAGGGGAGCAGGACGACGAGAGAAGGTGGTGAGACAGACTGAGATGACAGTAAGGTTGCCCGTGGAGGAGGGTGAGAGAAGGAAACGCCATTCTGCCACATGTCATAGTTCTTTTCTTAACTTTTTAAAGATATTTCTTTATTTCTTTATGAAAGGGAGGGAGAGAGTGAGTCAGCACTAGTGGGGGGAGGGGCAGAGAGAGAGGGAGAGAGAGAATCTTAAGCAGACTCTCAGCTGAGCGTGGAGCCAGATGCGGGGCTCCATCTCCCTACCCTGAGATCATAACCTGAGCTGAAATCAAGAGTCGGATACTTAACTGCTTAAGCCACCCAGGCGCCCCTCATTATTTTCTTTAAATCAAGTAAAATCTGATGCAGAGCCCTATCACATCCAATATCTGCCAAGAGCAAGGCTCTGTTACCTACCCTGGATCTCACAGAATCCTTGAGGCAAGTCTGAGGGCCCTAGACAATGAGGGCTGGGCTGCTAATACCCGAAAGTTGGAACCCCTAGAAAGAGGCAAGTTCAGACTTTGGAGCCAGGCACTTGAGGGCACATTGAGGCCTGGCGCACAGTCCCTATGGTCTGGGAGACGTGGGCCTCTTCTCGTCTTCTGGCAAATGCACTCAATTCGGCACTGCCCCCAACCCCAGAGAATCCCCTGAAGCAGGTGAAACTGCTGGAAAACAAAAGGCAGGTTGTCTGCTTTGCTCCTACTTCCTACTAGGTAACCCGAGCCCTCTGAGGCAAAGGAGCACAAAGGCCTTGCAATTTGCTGGGAACTGGAACTGTGGTTAGGGCAGTCATTACCTGTACATGTATTCTAGAATGACCACTATGGCTGCAGCATGATGTGCATTAGGAGGGCTAACAGTGCAACCATTTTTGCCACAAAGGAATTTCAGTGGTGACTGTCTAAATTCAGTGGCTAACTTCAATCAACTGAGGGCATTTCTGACATCCTCAACCATGACGGATCCTCGCTTTTCCAGTTCCGCACTTTTCCAGGCTCCTTTCTGGGTCACAGCAACGTTCTAGGAGGGCAGAACTCTTTTCTCTTTGCTTTTGAACTGAGAATTCTCACCTCAAAAGCTGTACCTTGGAGTTGTTGCTGACTCCATCCTTCAAGCACAGACTTCAAAATAAAAAGATGTAAAATCAATTTTTAATTGGTTAGGTAAAATATAAGAGGCCTAAGAATACTCATAACACCTATAAGTTAATGGAGTTAGCTGCCAGCTTAAGGAACTCAAAACCCACCAGGTGTGGGTGCTGGGTGGGGCTGGCCATACCACAACCTGCCCGCCTGCTGATTTCCCTAGCTGAGATGCTCCCTCCCAGCCCTGCATCTCCAGATTGACCCTCTGCCTCTCCGTGCCACGTGGCTCACTGCCACTGGACACCTGTAGCAAAAGAACAACCTTCCTCATCAAATGTACAGTCCCTTTTTTAAAGATAGATTTATTTATTTATTTATTTATTTACTTATTTATTTATTTGACAAAGAGAGAGATCATAAGTAGGCCTGGCGGCAGGCAGAGAGACACGGAAAAGTAGGCTCTCTGCTGAGCAGGGCAGTCCTTTTTTTTTCTTTTTAAAGATTTTATTTATTTGTCAGAGAGAGACACAGAGAGAGAGGGAACACAAGCAGGGGGAGAGGCAGAGGGAGAAGCAGGCTTCCCGCAGAGCAGGGAGCCCATTGCGGGGGCCCGATCCCAGGACCCTGGGATCATAACCTGAGCTGAAGGCAGACAATTAAGGACTGAGCCACCCAGGCGCCCCATGGGCAGTCCTTCTTGAAATGAATTCTACCCCCCAAATTCCTTAGATCTCTCATTCCATTAAGTCACTCAGGCTGGCAACCTGTCCTCTTGAATTCTTCCCTCTCTAAATCCTCCTGTCTGCTAGGCATTCAGAACGTAGATTCTGTGAAATAACACTGATTCTACCCTAAGGGGATAGCCTATGGCTTTCAATTCTAATAACATAACCCTGTGAGACTCACTGTGGGAGAGCGAGGAGTGATTTTCCTACCTTGACCTTCCTATAACTCCTTCCAACCATCAGATAGTTCTCCTGAGGCTCGCAGAACAAGGAGAATGTTAAGTATTTCATTTCAAAGTTTCCCCCTTATTGGAATAAAGCACTTGAAAAAGCAGAGAGCAAACTGCTAAAGAGCCTTTGTTTCAACACAACCCACAGGGACATCCAGAGAGAAGGGGACATGGTTCCTTTAAACTATAACTTCACTAGACAGAAATGTCAAACTTATTCTGGTGTTTCTATGCTGAAGTTAACAAAAAGCATGACAAACTCATTTCAATTTTTTATTAAAATACTCTTTTGCTTATAGGGACAACCAAAGAAAAAATACATAATTCTGTATGTTGTAGATCATGTGAAATACAATTAACATAGACTCTGGGGAATGTAAAATAGATTTTTAAAATCTTCAAAGAAGCTTTCGCAAAAACAAACTTTAAATATGTGGCTTATTTATATTTACCTCATTTTTCAGAAGTTTGAGTTTCTTTTCTCTATTTTGATGCTACTCTGCTTTATAAGTAATTGTTCCAATATTCTAATATCTTACCAATTTTGTTTTCTGAATCTTTAGAAATAGTTTTTCTAAATGAAAGCCACTCTTTATAGCATTCTATGTAAACAAAGACTTGCTTTATTTGAATTATCATTTGATTTGATGCCACTATTTTGAGTACAATTTCTGCAATAATTTGATGCTAATTGGGGTGGGGAGGAACAAAAAACTAATTAGGAGGAAAGAACCTTTTATATATGGCTTATATAATACCTACTATTTCAGTTCTTTTTATCTAGTTATAAAAAAGTTAACAACCTAATTTTTGATTTAAAAAAAGAAAGAATTTTTACCAGAGCTTCAATATAGAAGTGAATTGTACTTAGAATAGTAATAAAAGGTCTAAATTTTAGTGGGGCTACTGATTTCTCAAATGTTATATTTTTAATTTGGAAAACATTGTTATTCAAAATCTGAAATACATTATAAACTGGAAATGGAATCTTTTAGGTGAACTCTGTCTTTCAACCCCATCATAAACCACAAAAACTAAGTAAAATTGAATATAAAATTTACCATTACATTTAGGGGTAATTTCTATTGGGAGAAAACGATATAAGGAAAACCAGGTCAAAAACAACATGGTTCAAGAAATTACCCTCCGAGTATAGAGGCAAAAGAGATATTACATTTGAAAATTTAATAACGAGAGCCTAATCAAGGTGATAAATGCAGTTAAAAAACATTTGTTGACATATTTAAGGCAACATTAAGCAGGCTGTCAATAAACAAAAAACGATTTCTTTATTCATAGGTATGAAATTACTTTGAAGAATAGCAAAGTGGAAATGAAGAAGCTGGATGCAGATTCTTTTAAAACTTTCTCTTTTTTAAGTTTAAAAGGTTTTAAGAAAACCTTTAGCTTTATAGGCATTAATGAGGAAGGGGAGCTAAAATGTTTTCAAGGCACTTTTAAACAGAGGCATTCTAGATAAAAGGAAGAAAAAGATATCCCAATGTTTTCCTATTTTAAAAATACATACAAGAGCTAAATTTTAGCCTTTTTTTTGAAAAGCCAAAAGTTTTTGAAAAGGCTAAAGTACCTTGAGTATTCATTAGAGTTGTCTGAAAGAACAGAAAAGGTATTAAGGCTTTAGATTTTATGACAGTTAATCATGATATTACATATGATCTTGTAACTACTATTCATATAATGAATACAAAGTGTCTAAGAGCATTAGCTATTTTTATGTACTAAAGTATTTAGACATATAAAAAGATATTTCTACAAGTTACTTGTAATTCATAATGTACTGAAGAAATTAATAATTTTGTAAAATTAAGAGTCTCTGTAATATAAATATTTATGTTTTAGATTCATGCTTGAAGACTGGGATTTTATTATGATGAAGGATACATAGTATTTAAGTTTATCATTATTGAAACATGTAAAACAAAACAGTCTATAGTTAACATCATCTTGAACAGATCTCTTTTTCATTTCATAATCTTAACCTCCCACTGTAGGATTATATTTGTTTAATAAGAACATTCAATCCAGACAGAAACCTAAAGGAAAGATTACAATATAATAAAATAATTAATGTAAATAGTTTTAGGTTTGTTTCCCATAAAAATTGCCAGCACTTTCAACCCTCCCTGCTCATACCCATAAGTTTCTTCTTTATCCCCTATCACTCATCATTGGGGAACATGGCTCTGCCCATGCTAAGGCTGAGTGGGCTCGTTCTCTCTACCCAGCAGCATGCCTTGCCATCTCTGTACAACAGGACAAGCCATTTCCCTAGTGCTCTAAGTAGCATCTGATTTGGCAGGCATTTCCCATTCCTAGTGCTCTTTAAGCTGGTACCTTAAGTCAGAGAAATGCTTTAACTTTCTCATTATTTACCTAGCAGAATATTTAAGGCAGTGACATAGGTGTGCCTTGAAATTCTTGTTCAAAATTCTTTTATCACTACCTACATCAGTCCTTTGGGCAAGGGGGTGTAGGAGAAGGAGAAACTTTCCCCAAAGTTCTGTCAACATGTGTATTACAGGATGGATTCTACTATATAAAAGTTTTAAACTGTAAAATGTATTAAGCATTTACTTTCTAAAACCAACATTACAAGGTTTGAAATTAAGCTTTTAATGGTGATTTTTATGTGAGTTCTCAGGGTGATATATTTGAATATCTAGATAAAGGAGATAAACGAGTCAAGGCACAGTGAATGAAGTCTAGCGTACAACTGGAAAAACTCAGTGTCCCAGTAGTAGCAAATGAAGAAATCATAACTTACGTTAACATGCTCTAACACTTTCAAAACCAAAGGATTTTGGAATGCTAGAAAAAAATGACATCAGGCTTTATGTCAGAGACCTCAGATCTTTCAAGGAATCCTCTGTGTATTTGCTTCTCATACGACCAAAGTTGTAAATGTATATGGGGAAGGGGCTTATTGCCAGTGGGCTATAAAATCAACCAGAGCAGTTATAATTTAACACATTACTGCATTTGTCATACTTCAACTCAGTCCAAATTCTTTATATCTTCTTAACCTGCTGGCATTCTGGTGCAACCAGTAGACCTCACCAAATAGCTTTTTATATCTTTCTTCTTGACTAAATTGCTTTGGTTTGCATTCTTCTCCTTTAAAACATGCAGTTCATACATTTGACAGTTTTACTACCATAGTCGATGCACTCTGGACCAATGCACTCACAGCAGGCGTTATGGAACCAGCGATATTTGGATGCTCCCATGGACTCACAGGATATTTTACACTGATGTATGGACATGCAGTCATCAAAATAAACCACAGTACACATGTGTTCTGAAAAATAAAAAATTAAGAGCTCAGAGCAAGAAAGAGGTAAACCTGAAATGCTTTAATACCTGGCTGATATTAATAGTTATTCTTAGTTCCCTTACTGCTATTCTGCATAGGACAATGGATGAGGTGTAGGAAAAAAGATCACATATGTTAATTATATTGAGAAGGATGTCAGAGTCCCCCACCCCAGCCGAAGAAGGTAAAGGGGCTTCCTTAGATTCTAGACTTTGATCTCAAAGTTAAGGTTACTGGGCTTAACATTTGATATGCTTCAGAGCTGTGATTTTTAAATTGGGGATTTCTGATAAGATTTCCTTAGAGGAGAGAATTCTCCAGCTAAAAGAAGTTTGAAAAATAATGATCTAGGGGCACATGGGTGGCTCAGTTGGTTGAACGTCCAACTCTTGACTTCGGCTCGTGAGATTGAGCTCCACAGTCCGGCTCCATGCTAGACATGGAGCCTGCTTAAGATTCTCTCTCTCTCTCTCTCAAAAAAAAAAAAAAGATTCTCTCTCTCCTTCTTCCTCTGCCTCTCACCCTTTTCACTCCCTCTCTAAAAAAAAAAAAAAAATACTGTTCTTAAGTTATACTGAGAATTTACAGTAAAATAAAGCAAACAATTCAAATGATGCAAAGTGGTTAGCAACACGTGGCACAATTCAGCACTGGCTATTAAAAAATACTCTTATTATCAGTAGCAATTCTAGTCTTGCTTTTCAACACAACTATTTTTGATTGTTTCAATTTTCAGTTCTCCTGGTAGTTAATGCCATCTGATGACCATGGTAGGAGAATAAGGTACATGAAATAAATAAAAAACAATAAAAACCATTAATTGAGAGTGTATGATTAAAGTCTGTTATTTTACAGAGCCATTTACAGAACTGATAAATCACCAGGGGTGTGAATAGTAAGGAAAGGATTAATGGAAAAATCTGGACTTGTATTAGGAAGAAGAATTAAAAGCAAAGTTACCAGGTAACAAAATAAGGAAAGTCACAAGGACAGCAGTGTAGTGTGCATGGGGAATGGAGTGGAGGCAAGCCCACTGCAGTGAATGGTTAGCATCAGGAGACAACAGAACCACTACTGAATATCAGGTCAAAATGGAAAACAGGGAGGCCAGTATAGCACGAGACCAGGCAGACTAGGGATTGGCAGTGAGCAGGACAGGGGAGCTTTGAATCTCAGGTGATTACCAACTTCCTTTCATTTATTCATTCAACAAGTATTTACTGAACACCTACTATGGAATAATAGCCATTAGGACTCAAAGAGTAACCAGAGAATCCAAGGAACTAAGTAGAAAATGGTAGACCTAGAAGTTAAAAACAGACAACAAATCGAAAAATAAATATGGGGAGAAGGCAATTATAGGAATAGGAGGCAGTTTATTCCACCTGGGAGCAAGGGGTACCTAGAGAAGGTGTCAAAGACGAAAAATTTTAACTCTGTCTTGAAAGATAGTTGGTATTTCCAGGAAACTTGGCTGCCTGGTAATTATTTCATTAAATTAAATAATATTTGAACAAAATTTATGAATTATTTAATATCTATTATGTAGATTACATTTTAATGGGGAACATGGTAGCAAAATATCTGAATAAGGGACACTCCATATATTTCTGATCTTTTCCAAAATCTAGAATTTGTCTTTTAAGGTAGTTTAACAAAAAACCCCAATAAGAATTCTTAATCTGAATATCATTAACAAATGTTGTTTTGCTTTTACTACTGATGTCCAAAATTCATACTATTTCACATAGGCAGGACTGTAATAGAGGGCACAACAAAAAGCCAAATAAAAAAAGTATAGGGGCGCCTGGGTGGCTCAGTTAAGCGTCTGCCTTTGGCTCAGGTCATGATCCCAAGGTGCTAGGATCAAGCCCCACGTCAGGCTCCCTGCTCAGTGGGGAGTCTGCTTCTCTCTCTCTCCCTCAGCCCCTGCTCATGCTCTCTCTCTCACTTGCTCTCTCTCAAATAAAATCTTTAAAAAAAGAGTACAAATTATACTATTTATGTATAATTCATCTCATATTTTAAGAAATAACTGCAATTTTCATAATTGCCTTATTTTTCCACAGTAAAATTGTGCAGAGGCTTTTACTTGAAAATATCAAAGACTTTATAAAAGTTACATACCCTGTACATTCCAAAATTAAGGAATGACTCATTCTCACTGATAAGCGTTAATATGCTTCTCAAAGTTATATAAGCCATTCTTCCATTTAGTTCCCCTTCTGACCAAGAGTACTGGAGTTAGTTTATACCTGGAAATTAGATATCTGTAATATCAACTTGCCCATAAAGAAATTTAGCTGATGACCTTGGCATCCTTTGTTGTGCCAGTGCTATTACAAAAACGTGACTTCCTGGGACTGTCTGAATGTTATCTGACAGTGAGCAATACCATACTAAGCAAGCAGCACTGCTGCTATCTTATGGAAAGAACAATTAAAGCCTAACACAAATAAACATCAAAATTAGAACCAGGTTATCTACCTTCCAACACAATCTCTATCACTGAGTGGTGACAATATGCTTGACATACCTCCTTATCTACTTAAGGACTGGGGTTATTAAAGTCCATAATTTACTTACGACTAGATAAACTCAAAGCCAAAAACTGCTCTAAAACGTAATAGAAGTTTCACAAATCACACAGCAAGTGAGGGGGCAAGATAGAAAGTCAACTGTGGGTAGTTACCTTTGTCACTGGAATAAGGTGCGTGAACATTATTGCTAGGAACAGACACATTTTGATGGTGTGGCTGGTTCACAGTTTCTAAAAATGAAACCAGATTCTCATGATGTGAGAGTTCTTCTGCAACAGGGAAGGAAACAATGTTCCAGTTCAACTGAGTGTCTCCTTCTGTGAGTGCCCGGAAGAGAGAAGGGATTGGCTCATGAAGCTCTTCCACGGTGCTCTTTGAGGTTGGAGGTGTGTCACTATAGTTTCGAGGATTACACATACCTAGGGAAGGAGGAACAAAGAAAATAAAAGTTAATTTTTCTCACTGATTGGAATATCATGCAATATTGTTAGTTAATGCCTTGAGATCAAAGCTCCAACATATTAAAATTAATTTGCTTCCAACATTATATGTAGATATTTTCTTAACTTTTTTGGCTGAGGGGCCCTAGAAGTGATGACACCCCTGTAGCATCGAGCACATCAAGTGCCCAGAGGTTGTTTTCTAAATACCTATCCTCTGCTAAGAGGAACCAGAGCTATATGGAGAAAAGACTGATTCCAGGGCTGGGCCAGGGAAAGTACAAAATGACCCTGGGATACTGTCTATGCCTAAAAGTAAGGAAATGCTCAGTGAATGATGGGATGTATCCAAAAAACACAGGAAGCAACGAGAAGGGGCTCCCACTGGCCAAAGAGACAATTTTAATATCAAAATAAATAATGATAATGGATTACCCCCCTATAAATAAAATAAGAACTAATGAATCTTTATGTTATCAATAAATGAATAAATAAATGAAGGCAAAGCTCCTCCTTTTAGTAGAGTATCCAACTGATAAATGTAGAAGGAATGAAGGAAATAGAAAATTACCAGCTGGCAACTATCACAGAGGTGTTTGATTCAGATGGGAGTTGTCAATGGATGCCAAAGCTGGTGGGTGGAGGTTAGATGAGGAACATATTAAAGTACTCTTGGAAAACTCTCTACAAAATACTAACCAATTACAAAAAGGTTAAGGGTGACTTTAATGTAGAAAATCTGGCAGATGCCAAAGTGATCAGGAAATCAAGGTTAATATGACCAGTGATGCAACAGGTTGATATGTATCTCTTCATGTAATGCATAATTTCATTTCAGTGCTGTTGTTGCCAAGAATGTTTGACTTAAGTATGGTTATCAGTCAACATCAGGTGGATCAAGGTTTAGGGTCATCCTACATAATGTAAAGTCTGTACTCAATGAAACTGTCAAGGGAAAGACCACAGTACTGTTTCAAATTGAATGAGTCTGATCAGACATGACAACTAAATGCATCACATATTCTGGACAGGAACCTGGATCAGAAAAGATATCACAAGAGATACTGCTGAGACAGTTGGCGAAATATGAATGAGGTTTGTGGATTGGGTGGCAGTGTTGTAACAATTTTGGCTTCCTTACTTGGAAGGTGCATGCCAGTTATGTAGGAGAATGTTCTCGTTGGAAAATACAGACTGGAACATTTAGGAGTGATGGGCTATCATGTATAAAGCTTGATTTCTTAAGGTTCAAAAAAGGATGAATGATCATGCATGTTTGGGGGGTGTGTCTGAAGGGAGAGGAAGCAGTAATGAACAATGGAACAAATTCAATAAAATGTTAGTAACTGGGGAATCTGGGTGAGGGGATATAGGAGTCTTTCCCCTTCTGGCAGATTTTCTCTACATTTGAAAATTATTTCAAAATGAAAAAATAATCTTAAAAAGGGAAAATGGCAGAAGAGAATTAGGGATAGTGACGATAGAAAACTCTTTAGGGGGGGTTTTGCTGAGGAGAGCTGAGAGGAGAGAGCTGAGAAAATGCTTAATCAGCCCCAATCTTCAGGCTATTCCAGCTGATGTTATGTGGAGCAGAAGGGAGCTACCCAGAACACAGGTTCATGAGCTAATTAAACGATTATTACTGTTTTAAGCCACTATGTTTTGGGGTACATTGTTTAGTAGCAATAATAACTGGAAAGGAGCCCTCTGGATTTCCTTTTGTGAATGATACTTTTAAAAATTACATTATACTTCATTTTGGCTTAGTATTTATTAGGCCTAATATGGAGTTTTTCTTTTTCCTCAGAATAAAATTTTGAAAAGTTAAACCAAATTTATAAATTCTGACATTTTATAAATTTAGGCAGAAGGAAAAATCACCTCATGTTTTCCACATGACACTTTATTACTTTAAGGAACATGGCAAGAGCTGAGGATAAGGTTGTGCAGACTCTTCATAAAATCTTTCATTATATACGAACTTTAACGATTTTGACCGTGAAACAGAATCATGAATTAAAGGGTCAAATCTGACTCCTTTATTCACAAAAGAGGAAGTAGGCCCAGATAAATTAAATGATTTGTCCACTGTTATATAATCTAGGATTAGAGCCAAGCTTATGACTCAGTCTGATTTAATATGCGCTGCTGATTTTAATAACCACATTCTATAAATAATCATTAAATGGTGGCACTGAAAAGTGAGTAATACTTAGAATATGTGAATTATACAAATATACATAATATATTCTTCTGCCAGACTTTATAATGAATGAAAATTAGTAATCTGAGACGAAAAAGCAAACAACGGAGTTCAACAGGAGAGCTAAACTCAACATCTACTGAGACTTTAAAGGAACTTCATGGCTAATTACCAGAGATTACATTACAAAAGTTTTGAGGGGGGAGTTTTGTGCATTTAACAAACTTAGGCCAAAAACATTTGTAATTTAAATCTGAATACATTGCACTAAAATCAGTAAGCATGAAGTAAATGTTTGCTATTTAATATTTTTCCATGGCATTGTTTTAAAGCTTTCATATATCTTTCTCTTTTCAACTAGGATCACGTCCAGAGAGATCACTAGAGACTCTTCTTGGGCAATGCGGATTTTGACCCTCTATCTCTTGCCTGAAGCACTCTTCAATTCTGCATTCTTTCAAACATGGTGAGTTATGAAATCTGATCTTCCAATGATATGTGGGATTTCTCCTGCAGAGAAATCTCCTTCAGAAAAAGCAACCTTCTGAAATTTCTGGAAATTCTTCAGTTGTCTATATTCATTATGCACAGTGGATCAATTTCTGGGTAGAGAGTTACTAACCACTCACAGTTTAAAACAATTAGTAAAACTTTTCTGGGAAGCATCTATCGTCCTCCTGAAGTTTATCATTGCTAGCTTTTCTTTAGTTGACTAGAGAGATTATTTCTGGAGCTCTCATTTCTTTCCAGGATCATTTTCTTGAGGCAGTTGGTTACTTTGTGGCATGCTGTCACTACACTGAAATTTAAAAACTAATTATACTAAAATTTTAAAGACACTGGCTCCGCACATGACAGAGAGGCCCCAAATCAGGAAACCAACGGCAACAACTGAAAAGGCAAGCATTTCAAATCCTTTAAGTGCACAGAACTTTGTTTTTCTAATGTGTACTTAATTCTTTCATATCTGACCTGTTGTCATTATACCTTTGAAAACTAAGGTTATGTTAAAGTAGACTTTACTTGATGAAAACCACATTTTAGGGTAGAAATTAAGACTAAGGGGAAAAAAGGTATTACTTTCCTTAATGAAGGTGCATGGTTAAACAGCAACAACCAAGAGTCCAGAAAAATGTATAATAAAAAGAAAAATTCCTTTCCACTCCTTCCAACCCTAACTCCACTCTCCAGACACAGCCACTTTAAAAGTCTATTCTTAAGTTTGTCTGGTGGTTACCTCTATGAGAATTTAAATAAAAATGATTAATTTACCAAAAGCAGTAAAAACATCTTTAGATCTTATCTATTAATCCTCTTATATGAGAGATGAAATTAAAGTTCATTTATACTAACCCTCTCTCCTGTATTTCTAGTAATTGTATTATTCTAATACCATAATTTGTTTCCTTTGCAATCTTAAATATACTTAAACTTCTGATTTTTATTCCACATGTCTTAATTCCCTCATTTGCAGATAAGGATGCAGGTGTCTTTCCCACTTTCCACCCAACTTCTCCTAACTTATGTTGACAAACTTAATAACTATGTTCTGTTGCCTAAATACAATGAAAACTTGTCTTACTATAAGCTGATTCTAAAAGTTGAAAACAAGCAAACAGCAGTTTACCTTAACATGACCCCATGAATACTGTTCACTGTAAAACAGAAAGTATGATAGGATTTCCTTGCCCAATGCCATATTAGCAGAGGAAAATATTTCTTAATTTTAAGATAAAATGAACTTTTCCATGAACCCCATAAAATACTGAAAATCAGCTATTTCACATACCATTAACCTACTGGTCTTCTTGCCAAAAAATATAAAACCTGAATCCATTCGAACTTTAACAGCTAGCTTCAAATTACTGGTAATACAGAAAGGCAGAGGAACAAGTTAAACGACAACCTCAAGGAAGTAAACAGTCAAATCCTGAATGTGGGATATTCTACAGGCAAAGTGTTTCTTCAATATTTCAAATGGCATGAGAAAAAACAACAACACACAACTAGATACCATGCAAGGATCTTGTTTGGATTAATTTGAACATATCAACTATACAAATACATTTTTGAGACAAATGGAGAAACTTGATTATGAACTGGAATGTTAGATTATACCAAGAAATTACTGTTAATCTTATAGGTTTCCTAATGGCATTATTATTAAAAAAGTAAATGTCTTTATTTTCTTTTAGAGATTGAAACTGAAGGATGCAGATGCATTATTTACTGTCTATAATTTGCTTTTAAATATTTATATGCCAAGTCAGAAAAAAGTGGATAGATGAAACAAATGTGGCGTACTTTTTTATAACTGTTGAATCCAGTGATGGGTATATAAGAATTCACCATATTATTCTCTCTGCTTCTCTGTATATGTGAATACTTTCATAATAGCAAACCAACTGCCATATTTAATTCCTAGGACTAATGTCTTCTTGTTGAACTTTTGTATTTTCTTGCTATTTCTATACTTGGAATTTTCTTGGAATGTGTGTGTGTGTACCACAAATAACAAGCTTATAACAAATCTTGAAAAATTATTCTGCTTCTCAATTGTATGCTTGATACCCTATGGAACTCATTTTCTTCTCAGAGAGATACTTCTCAGGGCCCTCACTTACTGCTTCAGGCAGGCTAGTTGTCTCTTAAGCCTCTGTATTATTTATGTTTTTAATTTTCTGTATTTCATGATGTTTTGACATCTCATAAAAAGCTTTCTGGCTGGAGAGAGACTGCTTCCTGGGCTAGTCAATTCTAGGAGCCAGCAAAGGGC